AACATTTAACTGACCTCTATAAGAAGAGTATAGTCCATTTGTCGTCATCACAGGCTCTTCAGGTTAGGGAACTTTTGGCGAATTATGCAGACATATTTTCGAAAGAAGATCATGACCTCGGCTGCACAGACCTTGTAGAGCACAGAATAAACACAGGCAATCACCATCCAATAAAGATCCCACCAAGGAGAATAGCTCCAGCAAAGTGACAAGAGATGGAGAAGTTCATGGATGGCCTGATTAAGGAAGGGATAATCGAGAAATCAGATAGTCCCTGGTCAGCTCCCGTCGTGTTAGTCCAGAAGAAAAGATGGGACCCAACATTGATGTGTGGACTTCAGGGCTCTTAACAGTATAACCAAAAATGACTCATATCCACTGCCAAGAATTGATGATACTCTTGATGCCCTAAGTGGAGCCAGGTAGTTTTCAGCTCTGGACTTAAAGTCTGGTTTCCATCAAGTGAAAATGGCTGAAGCTAGATAGTAGATAGTTTGAGAGGCTGATGGAAAGAGTACTGAAAGGCCTACAATGGAGGATAGCCCTAGTGTACTTGGATGATGTCCCTTTGTTTGCACCAACGTTTTATGAGGAAATGTCCTGGCTAGAGGAAGTATTCAAGCATTTGAAAGCAGCAAACCCCAAACTCCATCCCAAGAAATGCCACTTGTTCTAGAAAGAGGTGCTTTACTTGACAAAATTAAAATTCAACAAAGTATCTTAATTTTACAGGACGTATCTTCTTTTGTACTGGTCTCAATCTCATTGGCTTCTGCTTCACGTGGGATTCATCTGCTTCATCAGGAAATGCCCCATTATCAGTAGCTGTCACATCAGTGGTAGTAACTTCATTAACGGCTTCACTGTCTTGAAAGAATGCTGGCAAGAAACTGTCCATTCAAACTTCTGGCCTTTTTTGTCAAATAATGTAGTGGAGCAGCTATAGTTGCAAGAAACTTCTTAACTCTCCCACATTGTCCGGTGTTGTCCAATCACGCACTGCTTTCACCTTGTTAGGATCAGTTTGCACACCATGCTCACTTACAATGTGATCGTTTGTAAATTCTGTACATTTAATTAAGTTATTGTTAATTATCTATTGGTTTAATGTAAGTGGCTATTGTTCGGGACGAACAATACTAAGGAAGGGGCAGTGTTACGACAGCAGAAGTCACGTCACACTGCTGGCACATGTGTGACTGAATTTCTCGAATTATTGGGGAATTTAGCAAATTTTGTTAGTATATAAGCCTGGTGAGAATATCTAGCGAAGTTAAGCGAAAAGTAGTTACGGTGAGGTCCGGGTAATTTACGATTCTGTTTCGAGCTAGTGTGTGTTTTGCACTCGTAGAGAGCGAAATTATCGAGATTGTGAATCGCTGTGATTTATAGCGTGTATTATAAAATTTGTTAAGTTTAAGGTGACGAGAAACGTATTGACTGTGGAATTACTGGGTACTAAAAGTTTGTATCAAGGAAGAACGAATCAAGAAAGGACTTGTATCGCTGAAGTTCCTCGGAAAGAATTTCTACCAGAAATTAACAAACAAGCAGATACGTAACAATAATTTTACATCACATCACTTGATAAAATGTGAAAGCTCCAATCTTTTATCTATACAAGCTTTATCACTGAATAAGGCACACACACACACACACATATATATATATTATTATTATTATTATTCCATATAACAAATGCCTAATCTACAAGAACTTCAGATTAACATATTACCTTTGACTTCAAAGTAAAAGTCAGGTTGCACACGCTGATTGTCTGCTCGTACAATATCCCACTCATAGTTCACAGCCCCTCCTTTTAATGTAGAAAAATGGCTAACCAACATAAATTCTCCACACTGTGGCACAGTTCTGGGACCAGTTATTAAAAGATAAGCTCTATTGGTAGTCTGAACCTTTGGAGCAAGTATTACCTAGAAGTTCCCAAAGTGTAAGACAAAAATAAACATTAAGCTTTAATTCTTTCTTAAGAGTTCATCATGTGAGTGAATTTCACAAAAAAAATTAACAATCAAGTGATATATTGATTTTTTTTTATAATTTCAATTTATTTAGGATAGATATTCTGAATCTGCAATTAAAACATCATACTGCATATTCAGTACTAACCCTGTCCCACTCAAGTAACCTAATTGTCAAGTCACACTTCAGAAAATACAAGCTCAGTCAGTGATAAGGTATCATTACTCAGACATCACATCTTCTCTTCTTGGTCTATTAACTTATAAAATTGTGAAGTTACATAAAAAAGGATATACAAATAACCCAGTTTTTCCTTGGTGAATAGAAATATGAGACATATCTTTTTAAACAGGTATAGTTTGGTGTGGAGTTAATCACATATCTCATTAAACAGGTGTATACTTTGGTGTGCTAGTTAACCACATATCTGATTAAACAGGTGCATAGTTTGGTGTGGAGTTAACCACAAATGTTATTAAACAGGTATTTAACTCCACACCAAACTCCACATACCTTATTAAACAAGTATAGTTTGGTGTGGTTAACTCTTTCATCTTTTTTTAATTCTATCCAAGAAGCTTTAATTAATTTAGAATGAGAAATAACCTGGGTTTTATTTAATTATGAATTGTGAAGTTGATAAATTATATCAGAGATTAAAAATAAAATAAAAACTTGTTTGCTGATGTACTCATAATAAATGTGTTAAAATATCTCGAGAATAATGATCGGTTTATTGTAAGTTTAACCTCTGAGATGTTATCATACTTAGAACTTTCAATACTCAATCCATTAGACACTAGTAAGGATAAGTACAATAACTTTTTTCATTAATTACTGAAGTTTGTTCACCTACCAAGTTTTCAGATTTTGGAATGGCAATTTTCTGATTATCTTCTACAAGTACTTCTGACATTAAAGATATTGTTGGAGAATTAACTATAGAAAAGAAAAATGTACATTAAAAATGACAAGTATGAAAAAAAAATTAGTGACAGACTGCTGTCTACCAAATGTAATAAAAACAATATAAGTAATGAAAACCCCTAAACAGATGAGTTGAAAACACAACATGTTTGAACACATTTAAATGAGATGGTTATAAGAAGACATGAATTTTTAATTTATTGTTATGATAAAAGGGTTGATACATCAATTGAAAACTGGTAATTAAAAATATTAGATAGGATGAGAGGAATATATATAGTTATTAAAACAAACAGTGATCACCAGAAATCAGCTAGTATTGTTTAAGTAAAGAATATAAAAAAGTTGTTTAGTACGATTAATGTTATACACAACCACTGACACTTTTTGGCTATATTAAGTTATTGAAACATTGGGCCAGGTTGTACATTTTTAAAATTGTACATATAGAAAAAATGTGTTTTTAAAAACACAGTAATACCTTCTTGGTTAATTAGTGAATGCAGTTTCATATGACTGAAAGGGAGTATTTATAAAATTTCTAATTGTGACTGTGTACTAAACAAAATCTAGCAACTATCAAGATATGCAATAAACTATTAATGAGCAGTTTAATTGAAAACACTAGACTAAGGCTAGTTGATTCTCCAGGCTTGACTAGGTCACTTTTGTGCAATAACTGAATACTGTAGAATTAAAAAAACAACAATAGTGAATTGTTATTTTAATAATAGTTATTAATTTGTGATAAATATTCTATTAAAATTTCAGAAATATTTGCTTAAGAACTATGCACAGCACATTTATTAGGTTTGAACAGAAAAACAGGAACGGGGGGTCATGTGACTGGGCAAAGTGTCTTTAAGCTTCATTATTTCAACTTTGCTTTTATTTACCTTATGGCAAAATTCGAGTCACCTTCATTTTTCATCTCAGTTAATAACCTACATAACCATATCAATTTAAAATATTCAAAATAAATAACTTTCTCTGCCACAGCAAGTTCAAATATTCAAAATAAATAGTAACAAATAGTATCATCACACTTTTGGTTTTCAAACTCTTGACATAAGCCAATAAAACCATCAAAACTCTATAAACTTATCCATATTTCCATAACTCAGCATGCAGGCATAAGCCACTCAGCACACCCGATCTGACCTCCTCACTGAAAATATGTCAATACCAATTACATGTGTCAGTTGTTATTAAAAACGTGTGTCAAAACAGAGAAAAAAGTAAGACTGTATATTGTATTCATAGACACAAATGGATTAATGATTGTCACTGGATTATGGAAAAGTGTTAACTGTGATTGGGAAAAAGAGTCACATCTTTTTTTTGGGCAACTTATATTGGTGTATTTTTGATTGAATTGTTTTGTCATGGTAGATAATCATTAATTACATATGGTATGTATCATAAAATGTCCATTTCAAACTGCCTTTACTCATTAATTTACAGATAAAATCATATTTTCAGAACCCTGAACCACATTATTTTTTCTTTGGTTTAATATGTCTGGTTTTACCAAAATATATATTCATTAACTTTTTTTCAAAGAGAATAAAAAGAAACTGAAAGTTAACATTTTCCTAAAATGTAAATGTATTTCCAATAATTCTGATCTCTGCTGACACTATAGCTATTTCTCGATCTCCAGGGTTTCCACTCTTTACCTGTCTAAGGATTGAAAATGCTTGATCTAGTCTTTTATACCCCCACTAGAATTCGCTTGGTAAGTTCTAATTTGCAAAATTCTTCACCAACTTCAATGTACCCTCTACTTAAGTACTGTATGTAAGCACCTCATTCAGATAATTTAATCACTATTTCAAGACATAAACCAGCTTTTAGTGGGGAAGTAGGGTGGGAGAGTGTCAATGAAGGTAAGTATTATTGGAAATACATTTTCAGTTTAGGAAAATGTTAACTTCTAAAACATACTTACCTCCACTGACACTATAGCTAGAATCCCGCATTGAGAAGTTAGAGGGGCTGGTGCAGGCTTGAACCATACAGAAAGCATCTGTATAGAAGAGAAGGGTACCAAGATAAAGATGGTCCAAGAGTGGGGGAGCTGCTCTACATCCAGAAAATGTATGCTCTTCACCAGGAACTCAGTTCCTATATCAAAGGTGGAACAGAATATGAGTAATCGTCAGTATAGGTCAGCTCCAACTCCACAACTCGGGATTGGAATTAAGTGGACATGGTACCTATATCCCATGTAGGTGGCTAGGGCTATTGGACTACAATGTTATATATAATTTTTATTGGATTCCAACCTGTAGCCATAGAGTGATGCATTTTGCACCACCAGAATCATGACGAAAAAGTAAGGCAACACCGAAGTGGAGAAACTGTAGAAGTTAAACCCTTATGTTGGGCAAAAGGACATATAACTTCCAACCACGAAGATTGAGTTTCCGAACATCTGGATGGAGAATGTCTGATTGAGGTTGTCTCAGAGATTGCCAATGTGGAAAAGGTAGAGGAAGACATACCTGCAGCTACCAAAGAAGCAGAAGCCACGTTTGAACTGTTCAATATGGTACAACCAAGATATCTCGATAGGGAGTGGAGCGAACCATAATCAGGCACCAGGGCAATAGTCAATTCGGGGGAAAGGCATACAGATGTAAACCTGTCCAGTCCTGACTGAACAAATTTACTGCCAATGCTTGAAGATGAGGTATTAGAGAGCAAATCCACTGAAAAACCTCATGATGTATCATCCATTCTGTTGGAAAAATCCAGTTGGATTGAGCCAAGTGATCTGCAATTAAACTCATCACTCCTAGAACAGGACATGCTAAAAGACTGATACGATGGGAATGAGCCTAGTACAGAAGATCCAAGGTCTCGAGAATGTGTGCCTCTTTGACGAGAAATCTGAATACTACTGTGGAATTGTCAGAATGTATCATGACAATATTTCTCTTCAAGAGAGACAGACCTTGAACATTGCACGGTGTACTGCAAGGAGTTCAAGAATGTTGATATGGAGGGTAGACTCAACTTCTGTTTAAATACCCTGGAACTCCTGACCTTGAAGATAAGTTCATCATCTCTGAAGAGATGCATCTGTGAATAGATTGGTGATGTTGCTCCTGAATAATGAGACAGGATGATCCAAAGGATCGGAATGCATTATTCATCGATCGTGCAGAGATCACTAAAGGGACCTCATATGTGCTTGTCCCAAAGGAATCCACACATCCCCAAAAGAGAGAGAACCATTTGTGCAGTAGGAGAAGGAGACATAAGTAAAAGCCTGACAGCTCTTTTTGTGGTTTGAAACCTGATAGAGGTTGTTTGAGCAAGACTTAAAGAGTATTGAAACACACAACCAGATGGACAAGATATTGTGTCGGTGACAGAATAGATTTCTCCAGTCTGATAAGGAAGCCCACTTTTGTGGCTTCTAAAAGGAGAGTCTGAAAGTACTGTTCTGCTAATTGACGGGATGGTGCCAGAAGAAGCCGGTCGTTCATATAATGATTTGTGTACAGGGCCAAGGAATGTAGATGATGAGAAAAAGCTAAAACAACTCTGCAGAAGACAAAAGGTGTTGATGCAGGACCAAAAAGTAGAGTCCTGAACTGCAGAACCAGACTGTTGTGCATAAATCTGAGAAACTGAGGGAATATGGAGATAAGTATTGGTAACATTGAAATTGGTCATCCAGAGCCCTGGTGCAAAGTGCCATCATAGGTTGAGAAAGTATTTCATAGTAAATCAAGGAATATCTAAAATTAGTTGAGTCAAGACAGATTGATGATTTCACACCAATCTCCTGTTTTCTTGAGTACAACAAATAAAAAGTAATAAATTACCGGAAGAACTAGATCAACCCACTCTACTGCCCTTTTGACTAACAACTCTCTTATAACCTGGGAACAAAGCTCCACTCATCATGAATATGTTGGAAGTGACAAAGCAACAGGTTGTGCAGATAAAGGTGGTGGTGATGTAAACTGAATGACTAGCCCTGAATCCAGCACATGGAATACCCATGGGTTCCTAGTGAAAGAACTCCATATGTCCAGAAAGTGATGTAAATGTGGTCCCACTGCTCCCCTACCCACAGGATAGAAACCGACGCTTTTTGTAGACGACCGTCTGAGCTGAAAATCCTCTAGTATACGGACAGACTCTATTATGGGAACCAATAGATCTAGGAACTGAAGGAGGGGGATGGGAAAACTATGAACTGACTCCCAAATTAACACCAGAAAGGTGAGAAGTCAATGATGATAAAGAAGAATGTAAACAAGCTGAATTAAATCTTAATTCTAACATCTCTGGAACTTCAGCAAACAACATGGGATGGAGAAAAGGAACTTCCTGTAACTCCCTGAGGACAGAAGACAGCAAACAAACACTTTTTAACAAAGAATCTCTACCCAACAACAACCAACTCGTCCTCAAATTGCTGAGTAGAACATTGATAGGCTTCCAACAAAAGTTGGATCGAAGATAAATACCTCAGGACAGTCATGAGGGTAAAACGAATCCAAGGAAACTGTGATCTGTTTAAAGTGATCACAGGTTCCAATCGAGACCCCCATAAAGTCCAAAAAAGGGGGTCCATTCGTTGAGAATCTAAATATACCTCCTCCTGGCAGTGCTAAGCCAAAGCATACTATTACAATAAATGTGGGGGACAAGACATAGCTATCCTGTCATGTAACTGAGTGGCAAATCTCCAATCATGAATAGCAATATAAGGAGGAGAAGGAAAAACCTTGCTGCCAACAATGAAGGGGTAGAGTCAAATGCAATAGGAGAGACCCTCAAAACCTTACATACCACAGTAACCAACTGAAAAAAAGGGGCAGGAGGTGGCTGATCAAAATTGTCCTCTGTTGAAGCCGACCTAGTAAAACCAGAAAAAGCGAGTCTTAAGTTCTCCCCAGCTGGTCCAGACCATTTGAAAAAGCCGCCTCAAAACCCCCAGAAGAGACACCCTCGGTCCACATATGTGTCCATCTCACAATGGATCATATCATGGACAGCCTCGATTGAGAGTGACCCCTCCCTGGCCAGTGATAAATACCAGATAACAGAGCTGGAAAAGGAGAGGTCTGAATGGCCTCCATAATATAAACATTAACTTGGTATGTTTGTTTTTTTATTATTATTAAAGTAGTTTATAAATATATGAATATATATCCATAGTAACGCAAACAACATTCAAAGTCAAAACAGAAACTGTGAATAATCACAACACTACTGTTTATAGAACCCCATGCTGAAATCTTCCTCGAGAAAAAGTGATTAAATTATCTGAATGAGGTGCTTATCTACAGTACCCAGATAAAGGGCTAATTGAAGTTGGTGGAGAAATTTGAATTTAGAATTTGCCAAGGGCATTTGAGTGGGGTATAAAAGACTGGAACAAGCGTTTTCAATCCTTAGAAGGGCAAAGAGTGAAAACCTTGGACATCAAGAAATAGCTATAGTGTCAGCAGAGGTAAGTATGCTTTGGAAATTTTATTACTGCTGTAAGGCATGTTGAAAAATTCTACTAACATTAACATACAACTTCTGATGCACGTTTATATATTGTGTTTTATAGTCTTTTCCCATAGTATTTAATAAATCTGCAATAGAAACAAACAATGTTTATTACATAGAACTGTAAGCAAGGTATATATTAACTTTTCATGAGGATTGACACAAACTACTGTAATTCTAATATTTACTTACCACTAATACGTTTTTCTGAGCTGATGACCAGCTGATTTTTTGTTGCCCATTTACAAAGTGTGCCCTCTCCTAACAACTGCATTGTCTTAGCTGTAAGTATACTGTGACATCCTTGAAGTTCCATAATATTAACTGGGCGATCAAACACTACACTTACAGTACTACCTGCCAAATTATTAAATCACATCATTCATATCAGACTAATGCTTTCATTTAGATGCAAAAAATATTTATCAAATAAGGTTATGAAAAATTATTTTGCAAATACATAGCATAAACTTGAAATAAAGCAACAAAACATTGTATTCATGCAAATTCTGAAAAGGAATATCTAAACTCCTGTGGAGGCAATGGATAATTTCATATTGATATTTATTGTTACATAGATATTTATCAATTAAAATTTCAGCATAAAAGTCGTTCCTCAAGCAATTCATTATTGGATTGCAATGTCATGAGAATTGCTCAAGTGCTTTTAATGCCCCCCCCCCCCCGAGTCTTATTTCACCTTTATTATACAAATAAAAAGATAAAAATAAACAAACAGAATTTGTTTAAACTTTCTAACATTTTAGGCATTTCAGGCCCCTCAAACTTGAAACACCTTCTCTCATCTCAAGCCAATTATCCTTAGCTATATCAACTAAGGTGTTTTTAAGGTATTTTACTGGCAGGTTTTAAAGACAGAGATTTGAAAATCAACAAAATTTGTTAAACCACAGTAAATGAGAGTTTATAAATGAAGCTAGTAGCCTTAGAAAAGCAAAAGCTTCACCATTATTAGATACTTTTATTATAATATGAATTTTGACATCAAGATAAGGTAAACATAAAGAAAAATTCTCAAAATACTTGTAAATATTTACTAGTTTCTTTTATATTCCAAACCTTGTAAGTGAAACAGTTAATAGGTACAGTGGACAGAATGATAGGGAAAACAATCTGCAAGATATCTCAGAATATATACTTTAAGCTTTCCAGTTACATTTTAAAAACAACAATAATTCCTCAGTAAACCACACATCACTGAGCTGTACCAAGTTCTGTTGAAATTGTATAAATTTTCATGAAAAACAAACGAACAATTTTACTTCCACTATGCTTTTTGCTTATAACCACATAATGTACAAAAATAACATTAATAACAATTTCTTTAAAAAAAAAATTGAACAAAATTCTTGTTTTAACCCTTCTGCTATCAAACATTCAACACATGTATATAATAAACATGATCTAAGTATGGGTTTTGTATTGTTTTACCTGGAAAAATCAATCAAATGATTAGCTTTATAGGCATTGGATAAAAATATACTAAGCTAAGGAAAAAAAATCTAATCTAATGCAAAACTATGGGTACATAATATCCCATTGTGTTTGTTATTAGCACAAAGCTACACAACTGGCTATCTGTGCTATGCCTACCGTGGGTATTGAAACCTAATTTTCATTGTGATAAGCCCTTCAATTTACAGCTAAGCCACAAGGAGACATCCCAATAATACAACAAAGGGTGGTTAAAAAAAAAGAGAGAGAAAGATAAGATTTAATAGGTATTATTTATTTTCCATGTGCTTATTAAAAAAAAGAGAAGATATACTAGTTTTAATGCATTGCTCACCATCTTCAGTAGTATAAGCTTCACCAACTTCAGGGGGTCCAGCGTAAAATGTAAAAGAAAATGTTTTGGATAACTCATGTTGACCATCCAAAGAGGGAGTCACCGTTATATTCTGTGAAGAACTTGGAAAAGGAAGGTCACAAGTATGAGGAGCATTCTGATTTCCAACGATAACACGCCTTTCTTTTGGCCAGTCTAAATAAGCAAAATAAGTTCTTTGCATCCACATAAAAAATGTGCATGTTGTCTACGGCTAAATGTTTGTTTGACATATACCAGCAGTTTCTAGATAATTAGGGTATTATCACCAAATTTCAGATTTTTTTAAATGTAATCTGAGTTTAGACATTAGTTGGATGAAGAAAATAAATTAGTCTAAAGACAGATATGGGTAGATAGAAAATATTTAATCAATGTACTCTACAAAATATCATCTTATGTTACAACAAGAAACAAACTGCACTTTTAAGGGCCTAAAGCAACATATATAATCAAATGTTTGTTTATTTTATAACTAAAACTTATTAGTTCACTTATTTGATACAAGGTGGATTTATGTAAATGTTACTCGGTTACTATTATATAATTATATTTAATTTTGATTTATATATATATATAATACTATAACAACTCTATCAAGTATACAATTAAATACGTAAAAAATGTTGATAAAAATGTCTCTGGTATTTACATTCTGAATAAATTCATTGAACCTAATAAGTAAATCTTTAATTGATTTTGATTAAATCAAGAGAATATAATTCATGCTTCTAATTCTATACTTATAGAGTTATAAAGCTTGAAAGTACAATTTTATATTCTCCATCATATTCTGTAAAACTAAATTAATTCAAAATGAAGATCATCCACAAAATACTTTTCTGAAGTAATGTCAATCGTTACATTTAAAACGAGTATGCATCAGAAATAGATATAAAGTTGCTAACATGCATCACCAAGTGGCATCTTCTAACCTATAGAGCAGTTATAAAAAATAACAAATTTAAAACACGCTGACTAGTCACTTTTATATTAGGAGACTCTCACACACACACACTTGTCAAACACAGTGTCCTTTCTGCATATATATCTAATATAGAATGATCAAATGATGTGCCAGGTAACTGCTTAACCCAGTGGTTCCCAATGTGCAAGGTAAGACTGCTGGGGGGTGCAATATTGCTGAAAGGGAATGATGCAAGATACCTTCGAAGAGCCTCAAAATAACCAGTCTCATGGGTGACTAAAATTTTAATATAGTAAATAATGGTTATACTTAAGGGGGGAAGATATGTAGTCTTATCATGATTAGCTTCCAAGTCAGCGAGAAAAAATATTACTCTGACCTTCAAATGAACTGATAGTAGGTATCCATCAAGTAGGAGGGACATTATCAAAGTGCTTCTTTCATAACCTGTCCAAAGACATTCGCCAATTTTTCAACTACGACTATGAAAACTGTGGCCATCAACTATAAGTGACCAACTGAGGAAAGCAAAGATATTACACTTTATGTTAACTGATTGACTCTTTTAAGATTCATCTATCTGCAACTGTTCATATATCATGTAAAGGATATTACAATAAATGCCATTGGTGAGTGACAACTATTTATTTTGAAAAACTACTCATTTCAGATGCAAACAAAAAACATGGCACAAGTAGTGCTTAGAACACAAACTGTAGACAATGAATGACTGAAAGTAAATAACTTGGTTTGGTAAATCGTGTTCTAACTTTTTCTGTACTGACAAGTTCAAACATAGAAAAAATAAATGAGGCACATAACCATAATTGTGTTTTTCTAAAAGTACGAGAAACTGTTGATGCATAATGGTGTGTGGAAGGGTTTTTGTGTCAGAGGTTAGGTCCTTTGATTGCTTTAACTGGGCTCATAAAATCCACAATGTACTTAAATGTTACTGCTAATCATATGAATCCACAATAATGAATGTTTTCCCCAATGAAAAAATCATCCAAAATTGATTTGAAGAGAACTACAGTGATTTCAGTCATTCACCTCAGCCAGAACATCACTGAATTAGAACAAGATAAATCATCTAGGCAAAAAGTGATCTATCCTAATATTACATGGAAGTCCCAGTAAAATGGTGATTCATCTTAATATTACATGGAAGTCCCAATAAAATGGTAATGCACCCTAATATTACACGGAAGTCTCAGTAAAATGGTGATGTA